TTTTCCTTATCATTGAATTTAAGAAATAAATAATTTTTCTCAAAATAATGAGAAAAAATTGAAATTTAATAAATAAACTGTTATATGAATTTTATAATACTGAATTTTAAAATAAATATCGGAAATTTTAATTTTCTTCTACTTTGTTTTATTATTCTTTATTAAATAGTTGCAAAATGTACTATAGGACACTTAAAGAATAACAAAAAAATTGATATATTTTTATTATTATACACATTATAGCAAAAAATTTACTGTACCCTAAAAGTATGCAATGTGAGAAAAAAAATATTACATGAAAATTAAATAAAATAAAATTTAATAAAATAAAAGTAATTATTGATAACAGCTACATGTACATAAAAATTTATATTTTTATTGCTATATACACTCATCATATATATATGTATATGGAAATCATATATCAGTATATATGCATATATTCAATGTACATATAAAACCCCATAATTTATAAGTACAAATTAATATGTCAATATAAATTTATGAATATGTATACAAGTATGTATAATGTATAAAAATTATAAAAGTTGCCCTTAGATCATATTACATATGGAGGTATGTACTTATATATATATATATATGTAGTATATATATACTACATATATACATAATATATTATTCATATGTATTTTTGAAGTATATATTATATTGTATACCTGTATACATAGCCATTTGTATAAAAAAGAAATATTTTATTATACATGTATATTAATATGACAGTATATTATAGTCAAAGATTTCCTTCACGGCATATTCATATCTCAATCTTCCGTTCCTTAAAATATTATAAAAAGAAAGTGGAACAGCAGAGTAAAAACAAAAATAAAAAAATAAAAAATAAAATAAGTTTTTTTTTTTTTTTTAATTGCAATATTCCCTTCTTGCAATCAAAACAGAGGCTACACAATTCAGGCATATTATATAGTATATATAGTGAGCAAATGGCAACAACGACACCCAGCAACAATAATAACAAGAAATTATTATAGAAGCTTAAAAAAAAAAATAAAATTATAAAAAAATTGAAAAAAAAAAAAAACTGATTGCAAAAATTTAATATGACAAGTATAAAAAGAAGCACAAAAGCATACAAAACACAAAAACAGAAAAAAAAAACCATATGAAAATACTTTTGATTGTAGATATAACACGTCAAAGAGCATTACCACTAACATATTTAAACAAAAAACGAAAAAAATATGAAATAAAAATTTTAAGGGGAAGGCAAAAATTTATTTTTTTTTCTTTCCTCTTTTTTCTCTATGTATACCTAGATATCTATTTAATTCAAAAAAAAAAAAAATTATGTACATTTGTACTTACATACATATTTATAGGGTATCTTAAGTTATATTATATACTTACCCATCTATGGATATAACTGCATAATAATAATGTATGTATGTATATATCTAAATATGCATATATAATATCGCACATATAAAATATATTTTATAAGAAGTTCATGACACAATTACGTCGAATAACCCACTTGAACTCAATTTTATAAAAAAAATTTTCTTTTTTTTTTTTATATTTTCCTTTTTTTTTTAAATTTTCCAGTTTTTTTTTTCTATTTATGTTCTATATAATATGTACTGTATTTGAAACTCTTCTTTTATATATCTACAATATTATGTATTATCGGTTCATATACAATATAATAAGAAAAATATACTTTTGATTATTATTTTATATAAAAAAAAAAAATTTTTTTTTTATGCATCAGTAGTGAATCGAAAATTCGGTTCGCACTATATAGAATTAAATTTATATAATATGGGTATAAATAAACATACACTATATGCATATGTATGTAAAAATTTTCAATCATTAAGAAAATAATAATATGTATATGTAGATAGCAAGAAATTTTTTATAATATTATTTTCCTGGTAATAGATCCTCATGCAAAATATTATATAGAGAATTTTTCGTTTGGACTGTAAGTGTATGTTATGTAAAGGCTAATGATTTAATTTATGTTCACCTAAATTGACAATAGGCATGTGAAATATTCATTCTAATTCATTGTAATACAATCATTTAATATAAATTTAAGTTTTAATAAGTTTTCAATTTACATTCCAGGAATATATCAGACGATTGCTAAGTATAAGCAATTCGTAGCAAAAAAAAAAAAAACATTACTTAACTAACAACTGTGGCTATCGTAATAATTATAACTAAAAGTGTTATCATTTATAAAAGGAAATCGATGAGAAAGGGAAAGGTGGGAGGAAAAAATAAGTTAATTAAAAATTTAAATAGTTAAAACCAAACGTATACAATTACTGCTAGGACAAGTTAATAAAAAGCATCACATAAACCAGGAATAAATTGAACAAAATCAATGCTATTGTATAGTCCGGCCAGAGCAGATAAATATAAGTTAAAATCATATTGTTTCACTTATTCGTGCATCTCATAGTCCGTGCTATAAGGCGAAATATTGAAAAGCTTGACCAATCTTAAGTTTTCGGGACTCTTTTTGTAAAAAACGTAATCCAATAAAACTGAGGTAACCACATGACCCACCACAAGTTGATGAATGAAAACTACATAATATTATATCAAAATCCATTCTACGACAATAAAACGTTATTAAGTCCAAAAGCCTAATCTCATAAGTTGCAATCTAAACGGATTCGACTAATCCATACCACATAAAGCGAAGAGAAAACGGCGCATAATAAAACATAATGAAAGGTATTTTGTTTCAAATCTTTTCCGTCTGAGAATTTCTATGAGGAAAGTATCATAGAGTTATGAGATTTTAAAACAATATGAAATTTCAAAGCCAAAAAAATATTTTCTGATATATAAAATACAAATGAAACATTATTTTTGCGGCTCATTCCTTCATTTATTCTTCATTTATTCGTGCTTTAAATAATGAATATTACCTATATATTTGATATGTTGCTTTTTTTTCTGTGATGATCAAAATAAATTTGATATCTCACCACTGTGAAATGCATACAACACAGAAATATTACAAATAAATAATATTCTTGAATAGCGTTGTATTCACTCTCATTTTCTGACTCCATTTTTTTTTTTTTGGTTTTCTTTATTTTTCATTTTTTACTGCTTCATCTCTTCTGAATTTAATGAAACATTTTGCAATTTGCATACATAAAATTCATTTATGAGTATAATAAAAAACAAAAATTTTTTTTACGTACTCGTATATACAATAAAACTTTAAGTATAGTTATGTACATACATACTTATTTTAATAAAACACATACATATAAACAGTTGTATATATACAGAGTTATGCATGAGTATGTATTAATCCCAATAAAAATGCCATAAATAATTGCATATATATGATGATTTTATACATAAACATGTAACCTTATTCAATTTAAATAATTCGCTAAACAAAAAAAAAAAAGAAGAAAAATTTAAAAAATTAAAATAAAAAAAAACGAAAACACAAACTTGAATATTAAATTTAAATGACAGTTTGCTCCTGTTTTTATTTTTTCTTGTTGTGTTTGGTTTTCATTTCTTTGTTTCTCTTCGTTTTTTGTTTTTTTTTGTTTTTGTATTGTGAGAAACAATAAATCGTTTACCAATATTTTATTTTCTAATTTAAAATTTTTCATTTTATAAGTAAAACTTTCATTCACTTATATAATATAATATACATTTATATATTTGTGCTTGAATATTGAAATATGAACGAATTTCCGCAAAAGAACGCCACGAAAAAAAAGAAACCATGTTTAAAAAGGAAAATGTTATTTAAAACAACATTTTGAATTCTGATATAAAATATAATATTATATACGCGGATGTAGGTTTGTGTAGCTATTTTACTACTATACTATACAATACTTATTCTTTAATTCTGCCATATGCTACTGTTAATTCAAGTTGGTGATTGAAACGAACGACACGAATACTATAGCGCTAAGTACATATGAAATGTTGAATTAAATTTAATTGAATATAATTATAATAAAATTGAATATAAAATTTTTTGAATAATATTTAGTTTTGCGAATAATTTATTATTATTATTGCATTTTAAAATTTATTTTAAAAATATGGAAGTTGCTTATTAAAGTGCATTATTTAAAAAAATCGATACGTTTAATTAAAATTTATATAAAAGCAGTTTTTTAATAAAAGTACCGTTAAGACTACTACTCCAAGTCAATACAAGATGTATGGACTACTAGTCCATACATCTTGAAGCAAATCTTAGAATTTGATGTAAAATCGCTACGTTTTATAGAAAATAGTAAGGACAATAATTTTATTGTTTTAACTACCACAATAGTTACCACACTTAATATAGGTTAAGCTTTGTTTAAGCTTAACAGAAAAATGAATTTTCGGAAATATATGCAAATTGTAATTTTACTGCAAATGTATATACAACAATGCATATTGAAAATGAACAGATTATGTCCAACCGTAATCTAAAAATTTTTTAACTAGAAATTTTACTGTATCACTTCTGGGGATTTTTCTTATGAAATACCACAAAAATTAAAGCGTTCGAAGTTGCTTCCTCTGTATAAGATATTTATCACAAATTCATTAATGAAAAACATAATCTCATTGAAATCAGCTGTGAATAACGGAACTACTGAATTCGTAGTTTAACACTAACGTATTATAATTTTGAGTGTTCATTTGAATTTAATTACAATATCGAAACCCAAATTTTATAATAGCATAATATTTTTTTTTATGTTATAGTAAATTTTTTATAAAGATACTTATGTATAAATAAGCAAATGAAGAAAAATTAAAAAGAATATTTTGAATCCATGTGAATACTAGGAGTTTATTTAAAAGTATTTGCAATATTAACCAACAAAATTAAACAACATTTTAAATTTTCCTAAAATATTCATTGAGTAGCTTTATTGAATTATATATGAATACTATATATATACCATTTTGCATTAATTTTTATTAATTTAATATATTTTTTTTTTATTTTCTGTTTCTAGGAAGAAGCGCACATCATTTTTATATACTCTATATACAAATTTTATTTAAATATATATATACAAAATGGATATAAGTATTGAAAAGGATATTTTAATTGTGGCGATATGAAACAGCAGTAACGAAGTGGAAAATAAGCAATAAAATAAAAAAAAAAACAAGAAAAGAAAAGTAAAAAAAAATAAAACCAAAAACAAAATGACCACAACGATATCATAGTAACAAAAATTACAAAAACATATGTACATACAATATATATTCACAAATTTGAAATAAAAAGAAAAATAATTCGAAAAACGGCAAAAGGAAAAAGAAAAACTAACAAAGAAAAAATACACAAAATTTATTTCTTTTAATTAATTTTTCTTTTCTATTATTTTTTTTCTTTTCGAATTTTCAAATTTCCACAAATGTACATTTTTTCAAATCAGCAGCGACGGCGCTTCAATATCAGAAGAACAAAATAAATAAAATTCAAAAATTAAAAAATAAATAGACACTAAAATACAGTTATAATATAAAATATTTAAACATAAACAATAATAATAAAAATAAGAGAACGGACTTATAATATTTATTTTAAAAATTAATATTCATTATAAAAAATTTAATTATATTATATTTATAAAAAATGGATAATATTTGGAAATATTCAAGGCACATATGGAGCACGTTTTTAAGTGCTAATTTTATGTGGTTACCTATTTGAGAATCAATTTCGTTGTGGACATATCTGAAAATAAATTATATATACATATACATATAATTTGTAATTAAAATCCATGTATATATTATATACAACATCGGTAAGCTGATTATATACATTTATATATATTTAATATATTTAATATATATTTTAAATTTAATTTTATTCTAATAAATAATATTTAGAAGAGAAACAAAAAAAAAAATAAGCAAACAACTACAGAAATTTTTTTCGCAAAAATACAAAAACAAAATATAAAAACAAAAATTCCATTATTATATTATATACTCTCTTATATAGCAAAACGAAATAAATACTTCACATATGTAGATATATATATAATGTATATATTACAAGAAGAGGAAATATATTGAGGAAGCAGCATTAAAATTTTTGTAAAATAAACATCAAGGAAAACTAAGTAAAATTAATAAAATTATTATTTAAAAAAAAAATAAACAATCGAAAAGGAAAACCACGAAAAATTAAATATTACGATATTTATATAAAATATATTTATATTATATAAATTATGTATATTATATATTAATAAATTTTCAAGAACACTTTATACAAATAAGGACAAATAAATAAAATAATAAATTCTAATAAATATAATAATTCAAAAAAAAAAAAACAATTAACGATATATCGTTTAACATATAATTATACAAATAAAAATATTCGTAGTTTAAATAATATATGTATACTTATACATATATATATATATATAGACATAAAGAAGAAAGTATCAACTTAAAAAAAATAATAAAACGAACAATATTATATTAATATAAATATAATTAAAATATAAAATAAAAACTTCATTTATAAATCACACGCATACGCATACAACACACACACATATATATAAATAAATACATTAAAATATTATATAAATATATTTATGTATATAATATATACATAATAATAATTTATTAAATAAATTTTCTAACAAAACACTCGCAAAATAAAATAATTATAATAATAAAAATAAAAAAAACATTCTCTCTCTTTGTACATAATATACATTATAAAATTTAATAAATAATTAATAAATAAAAAAATATAATTACTAATTTGTATATTGTAGTTAATTTATATACAAAAAAGAAAAATAATAAGAAAATTAATTAGAATCGACAAAAAAAAACCAAATATCTTTTAATCTCCCTCTATTTCTTTTCCAAACGAAAATCATCAATATATATAATATATATATATATATATATATATATATATATATATACGAAGTAGTTAGTAGGAAAAACAAACAAACATATTTAATTAAATAATACTACAAAAGAAAAACAAAATCCCGGAAAACGATCCAAGTTTTTTTCAAATATAACACAATAATATATGCAAATCAGAAATCGCTAAAATCCTAAATCAAATATTTAGAATATTAAAAATTTCATCATCAACACACAAAAACCAAATAAAATCAAGCATTATTGCATTTAATAATAATTATCGATAAAAAAAACGCCATTTTTTTTTTTTTTTGATACGAAAAACGAATTATATAAGTATATAAATATAAGTAAATTAATAAATTAAATTATCTATCTCGCTCGATCTCCATATTGATTAGTTTATAGTAAACAAAACAAAAAAAAAAAACACAATAAAAATTTATTCATTAAAAAAACCAGAAAGTTACTCAACTTAATATTTAAGGCAGAAAAAAATTCTCATTCTCATTATACTCAACAAAAAAAAAATAAATATATAATTAATATAGAATTAACAAAAATAAAATTAATAAAAAACAAAACAAAAAAAAAACATTACAAACAAAAATAAAATCAGAAAAACACTTAAACTTTGTATACTATTTTACCACTATTACAAAATATATATACAATATCTCATTATAAATACATACATACACACACACATTAATAATAAAATTAATATAGTCTATTAATAAATAGTAAACGAAAAAAAAAGAAAACAATTACCAAAATCCGTTAGTTTTTATTAAAACACCATCTCTAAAAAAATTAATAATAAACAATTAAAACTCACACAAAACCAACAACAAAAAGAAAAATCATAATTAATTAAATTAATATAATTAAATTAACTATATATATATATATATACATAATTAAAAAATTAAAAACAAAACAACAAAAAAATAATTATTAATAATTTAAAGTAAAATTAAAATTTAATATAAAAGTAAAACAAAAAAAAAAATCCGAATTAAAACACATCAAAACTGCGACTGAATTTCATTAAAAATAAATAAATAAATAAATTATTTAATTAAAACAAATAAACACACATATATATATATTATATAAAAACAAAATAATAATTATTGTAAATTGATTAAAACAAAATAACAAAAAAAAAACAACTACAAATATAAATAATTAATTAATAAATAAATAAAAATTTAAACATAAATGCACGCTAATATTTATAACAAATAAATAAAAAAAAAAAAAATAATTTTACAATAATATATATAGAAAGCGGAAAAATTATAAATAGAAATAAATTACTTATTATATAACAAAAAAAAAAAACAAAAAAATAATATTTACAATAATATATTATTATATATAGAAGAAAACAAAAATAAGTAAATATATAAATATAATATACATATATACATTAAATAATATATAACAGAAACCAAAAATTACCAATATAGCGAAAAAAAAATAAATAAAAAATATAATAATTAATAAAACAAAACAAAATAATAGTTTAATATAACAATAAAATTAAGTATAAAAAACAAGAAACCAAACAAAATAAGCAAACAAACAAATAAATCAAAAATGGTTGTGATGTGCAAAAGGACTTGAGGAATCTATTACAAATTAACATACATATAAAATAACAAGTGTAATTATAATTTTATTTTATTCTTAATTGTTATACTAAAATATATTTTTTGTTTTTGTAGATTTTTTTTTTTAATTTCAATATGCTTGCTATTATATTTTGACTTTTTTGATTTCTATAATATATTTCTGTTACCCTTGTTTAATTTAAAATACCCTAATTCTGTATCAAGGACTTTATCTTAAAATTTCATAATTATTTAATTTATATCAGTCTACAATTTTGACTGACAAATTCAAATATAATTTCATTGGCAAAAATTTATTTTTTTAAATATTAAGTAAATTTATTAACAAAAGTGAATGTTGACTTTTTTAAAATAATATGATATTATTTTATTCTAAACTCTTAATTGTCTGAGATCATTAAAGTTTTAGAAGAGTCAGTTAAAAACGCTTTCAGGCTTAAAATAATTTCATATGAAATTCATTTATTTTTATGAAAATAAATAAATTTAACAGCATGATGGTGTATCTCGCTTTTTTACTCACTTTTTATTCACTTTCAAATCAGAATTCTCAGTCTTTTCTAATGGATGTTTAATTTTTCCGATAAAATTGTATACCAAATAATTCTTCTCACTTGAAAATTACATATGATAGTTACTCAGTTTTTTCTCTCACTTTCCGAGTAAAATAGCAAGATAGACGATCAGGCCATAAATTTTTAAATAATTTTTTTAGATTTTATTGGTCGTTCGTCAACTATTGTCCTGTGGGCCAAAGAACGTGTATAGCAATTTCAGCTTTATTTGCTATTTAATATTTTTTATTTGCTATTTTTTAATAATAGCAAATAAATTGTTATAATAGTTTTATAAAGATTGAAATATAGAATTATTATTAATAATATTAAATCATGAATGTAATACTGATCATTTCAAGACTGCTAATAATATTAAAATAATTTTCCCAAATTTTATTAATCTATAATCTAAGATTTGGTCCTTGTTTCAAATAAATCCCTTTCATTTGTTATACTTCAACCAATTTGTTATATTTTTGCATTTTATAATATCATTATATTTTATTAATAATTTTTATGATATTGTTATTTTTATTTCAAAAATTAATATATATATTTTTTTTAAATTTAATAATGTAGATTTTTAATTTTAAATAAATTTTCTAAAACAAATAAAACTTAATTTAATAAAATTTATGTAAAAAATTACAATTTAAATACCAATAATATAATATAACAAAATTTAATTAGAATATTTTTTTTTAAATATAAAAGAAACTACACAGGTAATTAAAATATTGCACGGTTAAAAAAGAATTATGCAAAAACAAAAAAAAAAATTCTTTTTTTATAATCGCATAAATAAACGTTTATATAAACTTAAATAGGTAAGCAATCGTAAATTATACAATTACCTAAAATTAGAACGAAAGTAATATTTAAATGAGTTTTCCTTTTATATTTTCAAGAACAAACGCTATGTTTGAATTTAAAATGAAATATAATTAAAAATTTTAATGAATATCTATATATAACACATAATATTCTTTACGTACACATATTTGTAAATATTTGTAATATCATTGTATAATTTTTTTTTTGCAATATACGTGCAAAATGCATTCATTTATAAAAATACAGCGAATAATTATTGCAGCATAAATGAATGGAAACATTTTTCTATTATCATATAAAAAATTAAATGTGGTATTATACACATGGGTATTATTATTATAATATGTATATGAGAATGGTTGTTATTACCCTTGTATCTAAATATTATTATTTATATTTAAATAATATGTCTATGTATAATGTACGATATAACTTGTGAAAAAAAATGTAAAACAAAAATGGGGTCGTTGCATTTAAAAACAAAGAAAAACTGGAAAAAATTACAACGGTATAATTATAATATAAACGCATAATAGATATGTTACGCATATTGTATAACAAAAAAAGAAAAAATTGCATATTATATTGTTTTATTAATGGAGCGTTTGTATATATGCAATCACACGTTA